GGGGGGTTGAAACACTGTGAGCTATAAATATTCTAAACATACTTTTCTTGCTTCCCCTCACAATCATTGATATATTTTCAACCAATAACCTAATGCGAATGATACACATACCACTGTGGCATTTATTTTATCTTGGTTCGTTGATGAACGTAAATCTCACCATGGAGAAGTTATTTTATTACTTAAAAACGAATAGATAACCTTGACATTTAGACAATTCCTTGCACCAATCCGATGTAGTGGCTGGGCCGTGTGTTTAGTTCAACTGACGACAGCCAAAGCAGATCAACGACCGCAACGCTACTTGGACGAGCTCTCGCTGCGTGATCCTTGCGCTAATAATCGCATGAGGGAATCGTCTTTTTTGTTGTCCTTTGACGTAATCCAATAACACCCCATTAATTGATTGGCTTCAGGATTTGATACTTCAAAAACACTCTTAGTTCGCATCCAATTTCTTATGCGTCGCCGCGACGCTTTAGTGCATCAAACTCACTATATGAGAGAGGTGAACAACGAATGCGATAGCACGTTGTCATCAACAATACAAACTTCCTAAATAACTGTGATTAAAATAAGCATGTTGGAATGTAAGGAAGACCTTTTAGAAAGTAAAGTATACCATTCATTCGATAATAAGCACAACCTCCTCACACAAACACAGTGGCTGTCATTCTCATTTCTTGTAAGTAACAGAAGTATCAAATAAATAAAATCGCAAATCCCCCTTTATGCTGTGGTGAAGGAATGAGCATTGTTTATATGCAGCAACAGTAAACTATTGGGTAGCATTTCAAAGTGTGAAAAAGTTCACAAGCGTCTTACGACAGGTTATACCGGAAAAAATAAACAAAGGTAATTGCGGACTTAGCAAAACGAACTTGCCTGCTGAAGATGGGGTCAGTTAATAATCGAGAATGCATATGCATTACGATGGGCTAAATATAACTTAGGACTGTATAACAAGGCCGCAGTAGTGGCGGTATTCCCGCGAATGTCACCCCATTAGTCAAGCATTTAAAATAAAATCACAAGTGAATTTTTTTTCCCTCTTGTAAAAGCAAAAAACACATGTGGCTAAACAACAATGGGCCTCATTTCATGCATACATAAAACACACGGAAACCGAGGTGCGAAAAGAAAAAAAAAAAAGACCTGGATTACTCAAAGCTTTTTCACGCGGATAAAGATCATGTGTCAGATACTACACCTAGAAGGGGGTTAGAAAAGAAGATTCAGCAAAGAAAAATTTATACATATGTATATAATAATGAAAGAAAGAAAAAATGTTTAGCCTTGAGGGTTTAATAAGGCAAAAATTGAACAAAAAAACGTATTTTCCGTCATCCAAAGATCCTCCCATTATAATGCTTGCGGTGCAGGCGACCCCGCAGGGTGAGAGAGGGGAAGGGGATAACGGAAGAAAAAGAACTAGAAAAACAAATGAGCACACAAACATTCGCTCATTAATTTGCGCATTTATGTATGGATGTGTTTCTTCTATAAATCAATATACATTTATATATATGAGGAGAGGAGGAAAAAGGCTCAAACGATCCTAACCGCATCCGCGACGAGATCCTTCACCTTATCCCGCGGCGCGTCGAGCTTCCGGAGCCGGGCGAGGCGGCCGAGCACCTCCCACTCCCGGATCCCCTCGCATCGCGTCAGCGACAGCGCCTCCAGCCGCGCGCAGCCCTCGAGAAAGGAGAGGTCGGCGATGCGGGAGCGCCCCGCGTAGAGGAGGTGGAGCTGGCGAAGACTACCGATAGGGCGCCAGTCCTCGATCGCCGTGCACGCCACCACGTGCAGCTCCCGCAGCGCCGCACAGCTGGTCAAGAAGGAAAGATCCCCGAGGCTGGAGTAGCTCGCGAAGAGGATCTGAAGTTGGCGAAGATTGCCGATCGGGCGCCAGTCCTCGATCGCCTTGCAGCCACCCAGGTAGAGCCCTTCCAAGGCCTCACAGGTGGCGAGGAAGGTGAGATCGCGAATCGCGGTGTCGTCCGCGTTGAGGACGCGGAGCCGGCGAAGACTGCCGATCGGGCGCCAATCCACGATCCCCTCACACCGACTGAGGTGGAGTTCCTGCAAAAACGCGCAGGCGGGAACGAAGCCGAGATCGCGGAGGTTGGAATTCTCCGCGCTGAGCACGCGAAGGTGGTGGAGCCCCGCGAGGGGGTGGTAGCTCTCGACGTGCCGGCAACCCGCGAGGTTCAGGACCTCCAGGAAGCCGCAGGAAGGCAGGAAGCGGAGGTCGCGAACCCCCGTCGACGCGAGGCTCAGCGAGTGGAGGTCGCGCAGGAGGCCGATCGGGGACCAATCCGAGATCCCCCCGCATCGATCCAGCGAGAGCTCCTCCAGCTCGTTGCAGCCGGCGAGAAACGAGAGGTCGTGCAGGCTGGAGAAGTCCGCCTGCAGCACCCGCAGGTGGTTTAAAACCCCCACCACCCCCCAATTCTGAACCCGCGTGCAGTTCTTCAGCTGCAGCTCCTCCAGAAGCGGGCAGAAGGCTAGGAAGTCCAGCCGCGCGAGGTTCGAGCACTTGACGGCGAGAAACCGCAACGCGTGGAGGGCGCCGATCGGCCGCCAGTTCGTGATATGCTCACAAAACGACAGATCCAAGTGGGTGAGGTTGGGCAGCTGCCTTAGCCAGGAGAGATCGCTCGCCGGGGTGGGGGTTCGGCCTCGGGTTAACCGCACCACGCGTCGTCGGAGGGCTTTTTTATGACGCCCCATCATCGCGCGGATCGTTTTCTCCGACAGATCCATTTTCGTGCAGCTGATCGCGAGTAAGGCGTCCGGTCGCGAGGAGGTGATCCACCAGTACGCCGCCCTCCACGCCTTGAGCGAGGAGTTGCCGTGCAGTTCGATCACTCGCAGCGGGGTGTCGCTGAAATCGGAGAAAAAACTACGCAGCGGGCCGATTTGATAGCTATGTCGACTTCGCTCCACCACCTCCCGTGCCTCACGCGAGGTCGCGCTGAGGGCGAGCGGGGCGGGGCCTTTCGTGTATGCCAGGACGGTGGTGATTAAGTGCAGTACGGGCAGCCGCACTGAAGCCGACCCATCGTCGTAGATGGCGGGAGACCACATAACGAAAAGAAAAAAGATAAAAAAGGTAAAGTCTTTCTCTAGCGTCTTTCTCTTCGAATTACTAATATATATATATATATATATATTCAGAAACGGGGTAAAGAAGGAAAAGGAAAGTCAAGAAAAGTAACGTTCTTCTTTTTCTCGCAGGGTTTGAAACGAAAGCATAGGGAGTATTACTCACCAATATCCCTCTTTAGAGGAGGGAGTTCATATTATCAACAAGAACACTCCAATATTGGAGAATATTGAGGAGGAGAAAAAATGGAGGGATAAAGCACGTGAGGGCAAAACACACAAGTAGATGAATAGCCTGCCGTTTTTGTACGCTCCGATCACACTCGGGGTTTACCCCCTTCTGCCTTTCTATGTTTGGTTAATGTTGTTTTGCCGAGAGGGGGGTTGGTTTGAGTATAACGCTGATTTACCCTTTTCGTCATCAGAGATTCGCTTCGAAAACTTGATTTTCGACGAAGCGACGACGCCAGCGGCCCCCACAGCCACACCTCGTTTGTTCAAACTTTGATAGGATCCTTCTACACAGCATTACGCTTCTCCCCCCTAGGGCGTCTTTTTAAGCGCTTTGTCAGGCCGCCTCCCACAGCTGTCGCTGTTGTCGTTGCGTTTCTTCCCTTTTTGGATTCCCAGTGCACTCTTGCTTCGGGATGAACACCTGTAGCTTCTAGAGTCGTGGTCTCGCGCTAACCGGACAACCTCCGCAACACACGCCCATTTTTCACTTCGATTCGCTTAACCAGGAAAGCTTTTGTTTTTTGCAAGGTGGATCTCTTCCACATTAGGGCTGATGGGGTTGCGATTTTGAAGTTTACCAGTAAATTTACCTCGACCTTAAATTCACTCGAAGGTGGTTTGGATAGCGACTGCCCAAGGCTCCAACTCAATCATGACAGCATCCTCCTTCATCCACGCATGCGTATAGGTAACAAGGATGAAGGAGGGAAAAATAGAAAGGGGAAGAAGTTATATCAAAAATGCATCACGTAGGTAGCTTTCTCACTTTTTCCGCCCGGTAACGCTTATCTTGGTGGAGGTAAACCTCTCCCCGTAGGCCTGGCAGGAGAACGGCTCCACTTTCAACCTCAACCAACACCACGCAGGAGCCGAAAAGGTGATGCGGGTAGGTAAGCCCGCCAATCGTGCAAAGCGAGGCGTTTAGACCTTCAATCTCAATCACATCTTTCTCCATCTTGTGGAGACCGCTTTACAGGAAAAACTAGGCAAGAAGCTTTGAAGAAACAAAACATAGGCAACACTAGCAATAATAATAACAATAAGAATATTATTCCAGAGCGCATATCGTATTCCCCGAGGGTCCGCGGACAGATACTGAGGAAGATTCTTTAGCATGTCATCATCCCATCCGCTCTTCCTGCGCCCCGTGCGGACGCCACGTCGCGGAGATTTGGCTAAACGGACAAAGTACTTTAGTTTGTAATGCAATAATCCCAACAATGGTAACAATAAACGACCCAAAGAAAAAAAAAGCACTATCGATCTCAACAAGCGCGTTCTTCCCCCCTTCCCTTCACTCGACGTCCCGTCGCTGGGTGAAGTACAAATCGGTGAAGTGGAGGTATTTCATCGCGAAGACCTCCCGCAGCGCCACCCACGGCGAGGCCTCCGCGGGGAGGACGAAGGAAACCGCCACGGACGCCTCCCCCGCGTGATGCCGCCGCACCAACGCCATCCGCTCGGCAAATCGCTCGGGGAGGTTGAAAACGCACGGCTCCCGCACCCGGCCGTGGTAATCGAGCTCCAACCCTTCGATCGCCTTCCGCTCCTGCCGCAGGAAGCGATCGCTTTTCAAGGCGGTAAAGGACGACGGATCGCGCAGGACGGCCGCGGAGACGCGAAGGGGTTTGCGAATCACCGGGCGATACACCACCCCACGCCTTTCCCCCGTCTCCGAGGAAGGGGGATGGAATAAGAATTCAAGATGATGCCGCCTCGCGAAGTCTTCAAAAAGCCCCGAGGTGAGCGCCCCCGCGGCGGGAAAGACCGCCCGTGTGAGGTCGGACCCGGGGTAGGGAACGGGCAGCACGACGTCCGCCAAGGTGAAGGAACGGGCCTCCGCAGAGGTCTCGACCCGACGAATCCCGTCGTTTGCGGACGTTTCGCCGTTGGGGGCGTTTTCGCCCTGTTCGATTGGGCCCTTCGCAACGCGGACGAGATCCCCCACCACGACCTCCCCACCGTAACTCAGCAGCCGTTGCGAGGCCATCGCATTCCAGACAAACTCCGCAGCGCTCCGCCGACAGGCCCCTTCCACCCCGAGCTCCCGCCAGGCCTTTTCCAACCACGCGATGGCTCCCACCTCCTCCGTGGATGCCGCTTTCGTTTCATGGGGTGGAGTTGGTTCGCCCTGGCGGTCGTTTTCCTTCGCTTCCGCGTTGGCCTCGGCGTGGTAGCGATGTAAAGCGCGCAACACCCGCTGAATCGCCGGGGTCGCGCGTACGCCACGACTCTCGGAGGCCCACTGCTCCATGATCCCCGCGGCGCTTCCACGCTCCGCGTTCACGTACGCCATAAAATGCCCGTGATGAAACGGATTCGCATCGGCGAGGCTTTGAAGATAACACCCTAACGCCCGATCCACCGCGCCGCGTGCGGCAAATGCCGCCAAATCAAACATCGCATTCTCCCCCAACCCGAAGTGCTCCATGCCGAAGTAATTCACAAACCCCGTTTCCTTCCACCGCCGAAGCGCCTCCGTCAGGATCCCTTCCTCGCCTTCCACACAACGCAATAACAGGCGATAAAAATACGCGTGCGGTGGGGCCGTCAGGGAAGGCCACGCCTCAAGCCTATGATACCCACGTGGATCCATAATTAAAGGATGAAGATTATAATGCCGGGAAACGTGCGCGAGCTGCTCCTTCGTGACCCCTACACACGTCCCGAACTGGGAGATGCAGCCGTGGAAGCCTCCAGGGGTTTCACGCAAATGCACCGCGGCCTTTTCGACACCGATTTCGTATCGAAAACGATTCAACAAGTCGGGAATCGCGGCGCCGTCACGGTAGACGACGAACTGTAACACCGGCTCCTCCGAAGGAAGCCTCCCGAGCAACCGCACGTACTCCCCGTGGCTCTGCACGAGAGGGGAAAAAGATTTCGTCGGGTTGCTAAACGGCTCCCTGGCGTTCTCGACGAGGAGAGTTTTTTGGCGAGAGATCTTTCGCCATCGCGCCTTCGGCTCCTTCGTGAGAAACGCGGCGGCCGCATTGGAGGTGATTTCGTTCACCTGAAAATCGCTGGTTTGGCCTTTCACCACCGCATCAAACAACGGCAGCGAAGGAGGCGCTAAAGCGGTAGTCGAGGCGGCAGCCCGGCGCGGCGCGATCTCTCGCATCCCCAGAAGTATTCCACATCGTCGCTCCTCCACTGAAATATCCCGCCCCGTCGCCCAATCATCCCGCCCAAAACCTAGCGCCGCGGCGGTTGTTGTTGTTTTCGATGATGATACCGCGTGGCTGGAAGGTGGGGTAATTCGAATAATCGGGCCCCGTGGTAAAACCTTCATCCATAAAAAGCTATTCGCGCCACTTGCTTTACCAAGAAAAGATAATATGATATTTATATAACCGTATATATGTATATATTATGTGTGAAAAAATTCAAGGCGAAGTAATAGATCGAAGCGTATCAAGCCATGGTTTCCAATCTTAAAAAAAAAAAGTTCATTTTCATTTAGACGCATACAAATAAATCTACTACGTGAGGAACCTTTTTCATCGAAACTCAGCGCCTAACAACAACCTTCATGAGGCCCTACCCCTGTTAGCGCCCCTCTCACCCACTCACTCACTCACTCACTCACCCTCTCTCTCACGCACACCCATTCCCCCCCAAAAAACGAGGAAAGCTCTTGTTTTCCATTTGGGAGCCCTTTTCGATCGCGTGAGGGTGTTTTTTTTTCTTTTCCCCTCCGGTGGGATGTTGGTTTCAGAAATTGAATCACGTCAGCATCGCCCAGGATGCCTTTTTGGACTTCACATAACGCTGAACGGTGCCCTCGACGCCGTCCACCGCATAGGAGGCTTCCTTTTCATCCCTCCACGGATCGTACGGGTTGTCGTAATACCCCTCATACATCCCTCGCTCCACCTCCTCTGTCCGCGCGGCGGCCTCCATCTCGATCGTTTTCAGATGCGGCAAGCAATCCCCCAACACCTCGCTGTCGAGAAACCCCCGCTCCGGCAGTTGCGCGCGGATATGCGGGGGTAGCATTGTTAATTTGTGTGCGTACATCTCCTCCTCGAGCTGCATAAGAGCGCCCTCGGTGATCACCAAGAGGTGATGGGTGAGGGCGTCGTAAGCGTTAAAGCGATTCACCGGGATCGGATTCTTCGGCCCTTTCGGCCCTTTAAACCGCTGCTTCGCGGCGGTGTAGTTGAAGTCGTAGGGTTCGTCACAAAGAAAGGTCGGCCGCACCAGTTTATTCCGCCCGTTAAAAAAACTCCCGAAAAAAAACGCCCGATCAAACTCCACACTCGGCGTGAGCCGAGAACCGCCATCGATGAAGAGCACCCCCGCCCCGTGATGGCGAACATCCCACCCCATCCGACGGCAAAGCGCCAAATACGCCGTCTGCGTCGGCTCCGCCAGGTGAAGCCGCTGCACGACTTGCAGCTTTCCTTGCAATACCTTCAGCGTCGCGAGCATGCGACAGCCCCGGCTCCACGCCGCCGGGGTCATGCTGGGCATCCGAAGATTCCACGGCTTCCCCGGCCGGGTCTGGCCGCCCCAAGGGAATTGATGGGACTTCCGATCCCGCACCCGGGGCATCCCGAGCCCGGTGTTCGGCCAATTCTTCTTCGCCCGCCGCCAGATCTCCCGCCGCTCGTAGTCCCACAGGCTGGAGTAGTTGCGACACCGGACGAGCCAGTAATGCAGGTGTTTGCTCATCTCCTCCGCTTCGGGGTAGAGGCCGAAGAGAAAGGGGTCCAACTCCCGCGTGTGCGTGACCGCCCCGTCCAGGTCGTGCACCGGGACCACCAGCCGCGTTTTCATCGTCCCCGGCGTGTAGACAATCGGCCGGGTCGTCGCGAAGTGCGGGAGCTCCGGCAACGGCGCGGTGAAATACGGATGCGGGCGCTGCGGCGAAGGCAGGTACGGCGACACGAGCGGTCGGGTAACGGTGTTGTCGGGGTGAAAAAGAGGGAGGGGGTGGGCTCCTGGAAGGACCTGGGCGGCGCCCTCGTAGACGAAATCCCCTTTTTCCCGCGGCGCGATGTCGTGCACGCCGGACCCGCGGCCGTCGTAGCGCGGGCTGAAGATGAGGCCACGGGCGAGAAAAGGGCGGCAGGCCACAACGTCGCGGCGACGCATTCACGAATCCAATGGGAATAACAAGGCGGAATTCTACGACGAATACCACGCGCTACGTGGCGAGGACGATCCACTCGCCTATCCTATGATCTAGCCTAAAAAAAAAAAGGGAGGGGCCGAAAAAGAAGTGAGAACGAGGAAAAGAAAGCTAAAAAAATGAGGCAAAAGAATACGAGTCCAGTCGGGTTGCAATCGTCCTGGAATCCGAACAATGGACTAAACATGGATGTGGCTAAATATAGAGGAGAGGGGAGGGGGGGGGAAATATCCCGAGGAGCCCATATGACTTCCCCTTTATATATTTTATTTTTGTTTGTTTGTTTCTATCACCCATGCATCGAAAGTTAGAAAGATTGCTCTTTCAGATCCCAATACCTCGGGCATGAAAAGGAAGAAAGGAAAGGGCAAGAGGCAAAACAAAAGGCATTACCCTAATTCGGAAAAAAAGACAAAGTAGACTGAGACAAAAACACACACACGAATGCATACATACGTAGATGAATTAATTGCCCCTCCCGCGCATGGCAATCTCCTTGACTTTTTCTAACTCCCGCTGCAGCTCGCAGGTGAGGTGAAGTTGTTCGTCAATCTCGCCTTCTTTCAGCGACAGATCCCGCCTGAGCAGCTCATTTTCGATGCTGAGGTTTTCGTTAAGCTCACGAAGTCGCCTGCTCTCCGCCTCTAGCGCGTTGTAGCACTTCAGCGTTTTCTCATTCGCGGAGCTTAAAAGATGAATTTGGCTGGTAGCCGCCTCCAGCTGCGCTTTAAGGGCATCGTAGCTCAGCTCCGACTCCTTTTCCGACGGAGAAGGAGTTCCTTGACAGGCTCCCACCAAAGCACTCGGCGAGGTGGTTGAGCAGTTCGCCTTGGATAATGGGAAAACCCGCGCTCGCTGTCTACCCTCCCCAACACTACAGCCTCCTCCAATCGCGGGAAAAAGCACCCCAAGGCGTGAAACACGTATGCGAGGGTTATTAACCGCCTTAACGGCATGGAAGGTTGAAAGTTTAAAGCACGTGGCCGAGTTTAGCGAACTCGCTTTGAGAAGCTGTCCGCTAAACACGTGGCTGAGTGGTGCCGACGGTGCGCTCCATGATCTTTTGAGGCAGGTACCATTTCTATAGGAATCGACGTGTTTGTCGTGCATTTAAATATTTGATATGTGGCTTAAACTTTAGGGAAAAATCCAAAATGCTAGTTGAAAAAGATACAACAAATAGCTAAATTACCTAATACTACTACTAATATTGAATTCCTCGTATGAAATTCCAAGCATATATCCCCTAACTGGGAAGGGAAAGTGCACCGAGAGAAAAAAAAGCAGGAAAGAAAAAGACAAACTATGCCCTTGCTCAGCTTCCAAAAAAAAAAAGAATGCTGCAAAAGGGAAGCCACAAGGGCGACGGTGGAAAAAATTAATTCGCCACTTCGCATTTATTGTGAAGTCAAAATCCGGATTGATCTATAGAAATAAAACGATAGTGTGTAACAATCTATGCAGCACAAATGGGAAAAACGTCTAATAAAACTTAGAGTAGCCATTCCCAAAGGAAGTAGACTTCCACAATCGCGATGGACGTTGTTGAAGTGCGGCCATGAACAAAGGAGAAGATGAAGAAGAAATCCGCTCTTGTAAAGGTAGCTTAGGTCGATAATATGCAAAAGCACCGCTACCCTCAAAGTCCTCCACGGGCGGTAGAATCGCCGAAACACGCTGCTCGATCGATGCCATCGCTGGCAACCCCCTCCCCAAGTTTGTTTTCGTCACCCCGTTTACATGAAACACAGTGGCAGACGGATAATGTGGATGATGATAATCGGGATGATACAACAAATCACGATAATCGTGATTATCCTTCTCTCGATGATACGGATGAGGAGGAGGGTGAAAAAGCGGGGGGGAAGGGCGTGTTGGGGTGAAAGCGTCGTCGTTAAACGTGGTTGGAGAAGCTCCTCCCTCCTCCTCCCTCCCCTTCGCCTCCTCGACGAACTCCGGTGATGCGTCCTCATGACTGCATGTCGAATTCAAAGAAATCAACGTCAGCTCCTCCTTGCCTTCCTCTCCTTTTCGTGCGCTTCCGTCGTTGTCGTCATCGTCACCCGCCTTCCGTTCGCTCGCGCGGTTGAGCTTATAGGCAGGGCTCGGCGCCATGATCGTCTGCTCCCCTAAGTTCTTTAACGAGCAAACGAAGGAGGCATAGCAATCGCGAAAACTCGGTAAATTCACCTTATCGCCCTGCTTAAATGGGTTTGGCGGTTTGTGGGATGACGAAGACATCCCCACCACTTTCCCTTTGCGGCTTGGTTCTTCTTTTTCCTTAGAGCGTGCAATACAAGTTAACTTGGTATAGTCCACAATTTCAACACTGCACTCTTCATGATTTTAATTCTTTTCCTCAATAATATGCCCAAAGGAAGGAATATGGAGAAAAGGTGGAATATCCAGAGCTCCAAAAAGCAAGGTAAGAGGAGTGGAAAATAAAAAGCGCTATCACAATGCAAAAAAAATTCTACCATAGAGATACTGACAAAAAAAATTGAGTATAGTTGTAACATAAAAAAAACTCGCAGCCTATTCGGTAAGGTAAACAAAAAGAATGTGAATATTTAGAGCAGTCCGTAGTGAGTACCACCACCACCCTCCCATTTTTCGTCTACCACTAACTACGAGCTGCACCGCCTTTTGGAAATCAAACCATCATTTTGTAATAATAAAGAAAATAAAATAGCGTACAACTTGTTTTAATGAATATCATGGTTTCTTTTATCTTTGCTTTTTAATAAATTCATGTCTAAAGCTTTGAATTCCATGAGAAGTTGGCGTTAATGAGTGATCGCTGTGGTCATCTACAGCGGATCCCACATCTCTCAGATCCACTCAAAAGAGTTTGTAGGTACGCCCATAGGTGCGTGTTTTGAACTGCCAAGGCGGGTGCGCACCTAGAAGCCATTTGAAACAAGTTCGGTTTATTTTGAAAATAAAAAATACATGTTCGTGAGCACATCCTTCACGTACATTGACGTGAAACCGCAATAGGCATGTGTGTATCTTTTCAAAATACTCAGAGGTAGTGAAGAGGTTGGCATTCTCTGCACAACTTTGTCGGAGAAATTCAGCGGTTGCCGTCATTTCCTAGAACACTTTTTGCGCGCCATGGACGAAGAAACCATGAAATCAAATTGAGATGATGAAAAATCTAAAGAATCCAAAACACGGATGAGTTTTCCTTAAATCTAAGGAACTTTGAACGATCCCTCGCTTCTTTGCACCTTCAAAAAATGACAAAGAAAATAAGGCAAAATTTTAACAAAGTTGATTAACAGCTAAAATAGAAATCAGTTTATTTAACAAAGAGGAATTGCTACCACATCCCTTTCGCTCATTTGAGTTCGCTATCAAGCGCCGCTTGATTGATATTGACCTCTACATTTCAGTATGCGACCACCTCCTGCGGGAGAGAGGGGCGCCTTATTTACATGAAAGATCCCATCCTTTTGGTGTGGTAGGGGGGATGAGGTTGTTCTGAAGAATTGGTTTCAAATATACAAAAAGAAAAAGGGTATAAAAAAGAAAGAGTTGAGCGGGAAAACAACGCAATCGCTCCCCCTTACTTCAGTGTTATGGGGATTGTCAGGATGAAGATGGTGTTAGTGGATTCAAGACCCCACCCTACGTCGGCAGCGCGATCCCCATGCTATCCTCCAACGACAGTGCCGATTCGCTGATCTCGTTCCTCTCGCCAGGCCCGCGAGGGTGGGGAAGAAACGAACCTGGTTGAAACACCGGTGGGGTTCGACCGAGGCAAACTACCCCAGGAAGCAACGGCGGTGCGTCCTCCGCGGCGTCGAGGGTTTTCCAATGCACCGCCACACGAATGAGGGGCTCGGCGAGCGGGCTGCGCACGAGCAACCCGGCCTGTTGCTCCCCAGGGGGTTGCAACCCTCCGATCTCCACCGCCACACTCGCCGTCATCCCGGCCGCGAGAAATGTGCGAGGGTAGCGCAAACGCAGATGCCCTTGCACCCCTTCCCCGGCCTCCACCACCACCCGATACCGACAAGGCGTCGTGGTTGTGTTGGTGATGTGAAACGCCATCCCATAACGCGTTCCGGGAGGGATCGCACCAAAATCGCAGCTCAGAGGCTCCACCCGAAGTCCCCCTCCCGTGCATCGTGGCTTCCCCGGAATAGAAGGAGAAAGGGAAGGAAAAGGAGAAGAAGGGGGGGGGCGGGAACGCATGAGGGGAATTCCCCCACGCGCCACCGCCACGACCTCATCCCCACCCCTCCCCGTAGCCGCTGCTGCAGCAGCGGCTGCAGAAGAGGAAGAAGAAACAGAAGAAGCAGAAGAAGGAGCTGAAGGAGGAAGCGGAGCAGGAGCTGAGGCTGATGCGGAAGAAATCCGCTCCCGTGATGGGAGCTCCTCCTCCTTTGGTTCCTCCAGAGGGGCGGGTTCTAGTTTGACAGCCTCGCACGGCGGCGGCGGTGGTGGCGGTGGCGGTTGCTCGTTTGGAAAGCAGCGCCAGTAATTCAACCGACCGCCTTGAAAGCCACTCGACGGGGGATCCCGTGGCCTCTCCTCTGCTTTGTTGTCGTTTTCTTCGCCTTCGCGATCGGATGAAGAGGTGTTTTGAATCCGTGAAGGCGCCTCCCCTGAGAGCATCTCCGCCGCCTTCGAGGGAATCACGAGCGCCTCGGAGGCCTCTCCAGAGTGGGGTTCAACCGCAGCTCTCCTCTCCCCCCCTGATGGAGAGGAAGGAAGAGAGGCTGCGCGCCACCTTTCCGGATCGCACGCCGCGCAAATCTCTTCCACGCTCCACTCCGCGAGCGACCCAACGCCGGGTTCGCGCGGGATCAACATGAGCTCCACCCCCCTCTTGGCGATCCCTTCATTCCCTGTGAGGATCGCATGCGTGGATGGAAAAAGCGGGCGCCCACCTCTCGATAAATCTCCTGAGGAACTCGAAGGAGGCGGCAGGATGGAAAGAACCCCTTTCCCACCCCCTAGGCAACCCCAATGGTGTACGAGGTTCGCCATCGCGCGGCGGCTAAAGAAGTAAATCGTTTTCCGCCCCTTCCCCCTACTCCCTTGGAGGTGTAATTCACAACGAAGGAGGTCTTTGGCGGGCGCAGAAGACGCCGAAAGAAGAGTGTGGAGCGTTTCATTCTCTTCCGAAAGAGGAGGAAGAGGAGGGGGTATGGGGGATGACACCTCGCGGAAAGCGGTGGTGTTCTCCTTGTTCCCCTCCTTCTCTTTCTCCTCTTCCTTCCCTGAGGGTTCGGAGACAGGTTGGAGATAGGTTGGAACCCGATCCTGAAGCCCAGGGCTGTTTTGAAAAGCCTCAAGAAAAAACGTGTTGAGGACCTCGCGATAACGAACGAGAGGATGAGGACCTGGTGGAGCTTCATACAAGGCCGGGAGCACCACCCCTCCCCCTCCTTCCACCTCTTCCGAGCAGTTCCCGAGGGGAGAAACGCGATAGACACGACCAGGAGTCTCGCCCATGCGAGGAACCTCGCCTCGTAGTCCTCCGAGTGCGCAATCCATGACATATCGACTTTTCACACCTCCCCCAGGGGTGACGATCATTTCGTAGGAATCCCAGCTCAACATCGCCCTTCCACGATTGGGATCGCGTGTTCCGACTTGCAGGGTTCGTGCGGTAAAATCAACGGTGAGTTCCACGCCTCCAGAAGCCCTTACACGCATCCACCCTCGTCGAGGTCCGCAGCGTACGATTGGGAGGTCGCCTACGCTCCACGCACAAACCGCCTCCCCTTCTCCTTCCTTCCCCCTCTCCTCCTCTTTTTCTTCTCGATCCCATCTCACGTGAAGCGGAGCGCGGGCGAATCGCACCCACGCCACCGGCTCTTTCCCTTTTCCCTCCCCTTTCCACCCCACCTCCACGCCGTCCTCCCGACAGGTGCGAATCCCCCAATGTGAAGGAGATCCTTCCATACACACGTTGCTACTCCGGGCGAGCTGTCCAACGACAAGATCACCTTCTTTTTCTCCTTCTCCTTCTCCTCCTTCATCGTCTTTGTCATGGGGGGCGGGGGAGGTTTTCTTCTTTTCCAAACGACGAAGAACGCATCGTCCACGGACGTCAACCCATAACCCAACGTCTTCGCCAGGCCCTTGGGTGAAATACCCGCCCTGCGCCCCGAGCACCACCCGATACCCCACGGCCTCGTCGGAAACCACCTCCAACAACCCCTGTGTCGTCCAAACCAATTCTCGAAAAGTCCGAAGCGTCAATTCTCCCACACGCCCACCTCGCCAGACGCGAATTTGCATCCCCAAGGGCCGCGGGGCCCCTTTCAAGACGAGCCGCATCCCCCCTGCGGCGGGCGCGATCACCGCGGCCCCCTCCACGCCTTTAAAAAGCGCCGTCAACGCCATCGCAGGTGGAGCGGGTTCGCGCGGCGGCGGCAGGGGAATCGCGGCCATCGCGGCCTCCTCCATCTCTGCCAAAGTCGCCGGTCGCGCCGGGGGGCGGTCGCGTCCGCGGGAGTTCCGCG